TTCTTGCACTCGTAGCAGACTCGCTAGCCTGCTAGACACTCTCCTCCATGAGCCTTGCCACAATTGCCACACTGCGGCAGACCGTTCGGTGCCTGGCAGATGGGCTAGACATTTTGTGCTGGGTCGGTCGCCACGTCGGTCTTTCTTGTTCCTCGGCTGGTCACGACAGCCATTCCACTTCCTCTTGCCAGCATTCCCAGGTGGCGGTGCGGCTATCGATTGAACTACTATGGGCTGGGCCACTTCCACCTCTAAGCTCTTACTGATGGCGATCTACTGAGCTCGGAGAACTGTCTCAGCGTATGAAAGTGAACTATGGCTGGCCACGATATTCCTGATGTCTGCTCTAAGCCCGTTCATGAAGCGACGGGCGTTCTTCTCCTCGATGTCTACGACATGCTCTGCGAAGTGGCTCATGCGGGTGAACTCCCATTCGTACTCATCCACTGTCAAACCGCCCTGGCGTACATCTCAGAACTGCCTCTCCATCTGATCACAAAATTGAAGAGGGTAGTACTTCTCAGTGATGATCCCCTTCATGCGATCCCAAGTCAGAGCAGTTCGCTCACCAACCGACCTAAGCCTCCAGTAGCTGGACCACCATCTAGCCGCATCTCCATCCATATGGAACTGGGCACAGATGATACTCTGCTGGTCCATGCAAGCTATCACGTCGAAAATCCTCTCTAGTTTCAGGAACCAACATCCACAACAGACGGCTCATCTTGTCCTGTGAACACAGGAGGGTGTAAGTTGCAGAACTAGGAAACTAGCTGGGCCTGGTTCTGGCCCTGATTAGGCGAGTCCTGCAGGGCACAGCCTCTAGCTCCTCTTCCCCTTCCACTTGCTGCCATTAGTTAGCAAAAGAGTAAACTTTAGGTTGAACACAAAACAACCTAGCTAGAGTTCAAAACTCAGAACTTAGCTTGAGTTCAAGTCCTTTAAAAACGAGGGTAAATCCTAGGCCCCATTCTAAAGTGGAACATGAAATCACATGATGCTGAAACTTAAACATATCAAAACTTACCTTGAAGCTGGTACGGCAAGAAGGAGACGAGTGGTCATACTTTAAGCTTTTTCAAAAATTTTCTCAAAATTTTCTAACTTTGATGTAAAATTTTCTCAAAATCGGCTGAGGTGGTTCGAACATGTCCAACGGAGGCCTCCTGATGCACCGGTGCGTAGGGGATTTTTTCAGCGGGTCGATGATGTTAAAGAGAGGTAGAGGTCGGCCTAAACTCACTCGGGAAGAGTCGGTTAAGAGAGACCTTAAAAATTGGAATATCTCCAAGGATTTAGCGGTGGATAGGAGCGCTTGGAGGCTAGCAATCAACGTGCCAGAACCGTGACTTTTGCTCCTTTCTCTTTTGCTCCAATATCTTCCTTTTATTTTGAGCCCCTTTTTGTGTTTCTCTTACCATTGGTTCTCTTGGGTTTCATCTCTAGCCTACCCCAATCTGCTTGAGACTAAAATGCTATGTTGTTGTTATTATTGTTGTTGTTGGTTGTTTCTAACTTTAAAAATTGGCAAGTTTACAGAACCATAGACTTGCTCTGATACCATGTTGTAGCGCCCATTTGCTTATCTTTAGAAAATACTAAGATTTTCAGAAATAATTTGATTTTTTTTAAANTTTTTTCTTTTCTTAACCCAAGTCTCATACTTGGATCCTTAGGGAAAACACATCCTATCCTATAATCTCAAATTCTTGTTCAAACAATTTAAGTCAAATAGTGTAACGCCCCATTATTTTTTATAAGGAAAAATCCCAAGTTTTAAAAAAAAATCAGAGTTAATTTTTAAAATTTCATTTTTCTTTTCGAAAGCTAATCAACGGGCGCTACTCAATTAAATCATTCAATCATCATATAGCTCAAGCCACATACCTATGGGAACTTCCTTCCCAATATCCACCATATACACACGAGATCACTATCATCATATCCATATCCTCGCAGTCAAACATAATCATAACATCACTTTTATATCCTCACTGTCATACATAATCATAACATCATTTTTTTATTTCAATAACAAGTGAGGTAAACCCGTTTCATAATTCATTTTATATTCCAAAATAGTGTATCAAGTTGACATCATAATCATAACAATATCCACAACACGGAAGCATGAACCGTTCAATATACAATTTTTCGAAGATTCATGGCACGAAAAGGAAATTTCGGTTCAAGGGGTTAGGGACCGAATTAAGAATTAAAATTTTAACAACAATGAACACATAATAACAGACTCCTAACCTCAAAATTTCAGGTCATTTGGACATGCCAAACTTTAAATGCAAGTCTTCAAAGTTTAAGGGCATAAACATCAATTTCGGTTCGGATAGCTAGGGATCGAAAAAAATTCTGAAATTTTAACACACCATACCTCATTATAACAGGAGATGATCCTCAAAGTTTCAAAAATCAAAAGCTCGAGTATACGTGTTTTCATAAATTTTTGAATAAAAAGGCATAAAAGTGGCATTTCTGGTTCGAGGGGTTAGAAATGGTATTTGACCACGAAATTTTAGCAACAACCATGAAATCATAACAGAGACTCCCCATAAAATTTTCAGGTCAATTGCACGGACCAATTATTTATCATGATTTTTCAAAGATTCAGAGGGCATTATGACTTCAAAAATTCAAAACTAACTCAAATCAATTCCGAATTCGACAGTGTCTTCGAGAGCTGATTAAGGACACTCAAGAGTTCCATATTTCCACAAGATTTCACCAGAAATGACAAGATCCAATTATTCTTCAATTAAACCAAAAAGATCTTGGTTTAATAATCGATAAATCACACAAGGCAATAACAATTCATCAATAAATCACCAAAGGCACAAAATATCAGTGGGTTAAATCCATCAATACCGTTCACCACCAATCTACAAGCAAAAGTGGTGGCCGGATCGGGTTTCGCCTCAGCGGCTGACACGCGGCTCGGCGATCGACGGACTGCGATTGGCGCACGGGCAAGACTCGCATACGGTCTTAGGAAGGCTGGGAACGTTCGGCTCAACACAAACAGGGGTGGGGTTACGACCTGCAGCAGAGCTTCGTGGGATGGAGACGTTGCGGGGCTGATGCAACCCATAAATAATAAGTTTTTTTATTTTTTTTTTTTATTTTTATCTTTAAAAAATTATACATCATTAAATGCTGCCTTAAATTTCGGGCTTTAATTCACTTTATTATTGAAAATTCCGGCTAACATCTATTAAGTGTACATATTTTCATTTTTATTTTTTTCATTAGAAACAACGAACAACATTAAAATCTCAGTCTCTATATTTATAAAATCTCAATTTAAAAGGTAACAAAAATTTTAGAATTATTGAACGCTATTATTTAAATATCATTTCCCACAAATCATCACAATTTATTTATTTGGAACGTGTGATAATAAACTTGGTAATGCTTATTAATTATTTGTTTACCAAATTATTGTTTTTTATTAACTCAGTTTAAAAAGGTAAAATAATTTTTAAATTCTCAGTCTCAATAGTTGTGCATTTCAAAAAAAAAAGTTAATGATAATATATTATTTGTGAATAGTACATGATTTTGAAAACCCATTATAAATTGTATGTTGATATCCAAATCATTTTATAAATGCAATTGACTTTGTTCAATTTCCACGAAAATATGGTGAAACAAAATGAGGCGATCAAATTTGTATGGAAAATAAAATAAAATCAGTAAATTCATATGAAGTTCACAGGAAATTAACATAATTAGTAATTTGAATAGTACACGGATCTCAAAATTTACTTGCGTGGATTCTAAAATTCAAACTTATACTTATCATCATCTTTTAGAAATTGAATAATATATTGTAGGCAAAATTTTTTTAAATAGTTTTAGACATGTTTTCTTTATAAAATAGATTAGAAAAATTTTAGGTGACTTCACATCTTTCAATAGTGATTTATAAAATGTTAGATACATTACATACGTTATATAGTATTTTAGAAGTTTTTAATATTTTAAACATACATTTTTTATGTTATTTTATACAAGATAATTTTATATTGTTTACAACTGATATACGATAAATTATGTCAAATATTAACTCCGAATCTTATCTTAATTTATAATTATTAGTTAATATTGTTTACTCTCATATTTAATTTATAATTATTAGTTAATATTGTTTACCCTCATTTTTACTTTATAATTATTATTTAATATTGTTTACCCGTGCATCGCACGGACTACGCACTAGTGGTAATCTCCTGGTGTATTCAATTTAGATTTGTTAAGACTTTTGAAGACTTTAAAAAATCTTGGGGTATTCAATTGGGATTTTAAAAAGTCTTAAAAAAACTTGAAAGTATTTAATTTATTTGACACTAGGATTTGTTAAGACTTTTTAAGATTTGGTGGGATTTATAAACAAAAAACCTTATACGAAATCATAGTTCAGATCCCACCTCCAGACCTAGGATTTCACGGAATTTCTCCAAAATCTAGAAAATTAACAATCTCAAATCTTAAAAAGTCTCAAAGTGTCACTGAAAATCTCAATTGAATACATCTTCCTATATTACTATTTTATCATTAACAATATATCTCATAAATTTTTTCGGTTGATTAGATTTCTTTTCAAATTGAGTATAAAAATATATTTTTTTTTATTAGATTCCTTTTCAAAAATAATTTACAATACCCGTGATTGTAAATTGTCTTTTTTTATGCAATAAAAAACCACTTAAAATGTGGGTCTTTTTTTTTTTATTGCTTGTCATAATATATGTCGTTTAACTTTGATATAATCTCTATCAAAGTGTTGCTTGGTATATATGATTGTGTTAATACTTCACGTGCATGCATTTTTTTTTTCTTATTTAATTATAAACAAATGATTATTTTTCTAGTTTGTTATTTGTTTATTCTTTATTAAATAAATTTTTTAAATATTATTGGTGATAACGATGTTTGAATCCTAATTGGAGTGAGATTCTTAAGATTAATTTTATTTGGACGAATAATTATTTTTTTAGTAAAGTCCTTTTCACTTTGATATATTTAATGGCATTACACTTTGGCCACTAAAAGTTCATAAATATAATGACATTTTAGTCCATACAACTTTTTACCATATCATTCATATTTTTATAGATAGATATATATAGATAACTAAAACTAAACATCAATTGATGATATTGTTCTATCAATCTTATTTAGAAACGCTATATTTTATTATCATATCATTACATCCATCTTATTGAGAAATGCCAAATTTATTAATAATGTCCTAACATCCATTTTATTGAGACACAAAGCAATATAACGGTAGACGCCCGTGCTACATAGAAACCTTGTCCGAACTCAATCAGATTCAGCGGGCATATTGTTAATTTGAACAACCAGTGGACTGGTGACCTGATGAAGCCCGTCGCACCAAGTAATGGAGCCGAAATCAAATCTCCCTCGAGATTCTCTGAGTGCCGTTAATGTGATATAATAAGTCTTTTCTTGATTCAATGATGAAAATGTGAGGGTTGGGGGCCGAACCACAACCTCAACTCCATTCGGTTTAACGATGCTAAAGTTGTATGTGGTGGGGTTTTTTTGTCCAACGTTGCGAACAGTTCTTTTGACGGTTGTGCTGTTTTTAAGGTCTAGAAGGGTGATTGATGGGTAGTTGAGGTTATAATCAGGCACGCGACTCGGATCATCGCATCTCGGGCATAAGGTGGGTGGTCGACAGCCTGCAATGGCATGTATTTGTTTGGTAGTATAACCATTGTTGCATAGGAAAAACACATAATCCTGAGCTTTCATATCATAGACTAGTCCAGGGTCGAATGCCTTGGTCGGGTTAACATGCCCAGCACCAATGTCAAAGAAGTTTGCAGTCTTTGTTGTCAGTTGTGCTAATATGCCATCGCCATTTGTGTCTGTATTAGAAGCTGTCAGCATAAAAATGGAATTAGAAAATGTGCTATGCAATGTAATGCTTCATATTGTAAATTTAATTGTTGATCAGATCACCAGTAGTCATAATGGCGGATCTAATTGCAGCAGGGGACCAGTCTGGATGTGCTGATTTGAGGAGGGCAACAATGCCGGACACGTGAGGACAAGCCATTGAAGTTCCCGTGTCGAATTTCCAAACGGATCTATCATTAGGACCTACAGAAAGCTTGGGTGTTGGAGACGCTGAGGCCAATATGTTTGTTCCAGGTGCACTAATATCGGGCTGCAAGAATGAAGCGTTGGGGGGAAAAATAATCAACAAAAATACTGACTCTGAGTAAATAACAATATCACTGAATTTGAGTCAAATGATCGTACCTTAAGAATGCTAGGGGTCATCGAGCTTGGACCTCTAGAAGAATAATCCGATACTTCTGGCGCCGATATCCGTCTGAAAGCTGTTGTACTTGGTAAGATTGTCAGCTTGGACATGCTTCATATTGAACGAGTAAACGGAGTTGGTTTAGTTAGAACAAATACTATTTATTAGTCTCTTCTCATGGAAGTTGGAACTATATATATGTGTGTGCGTGTGTGTTTGTGTTGTGATGATGATGATTTGAAATTAAAATTATACCCACTTGTAATTGAGATACTGTTGCAATAATCTTCTTCCTTGTATCATGTCTATGCTTATGGTGGGGATTATAGTATCAAGTATCTCTTGATTCGTTGGTGATGACCGGACAATAATAACTGCTGATGCATTGGTTTGAGAGGCTTGGAACGCTATGACATAATTTGGGATCTGAACCCAGCCGGGGATATGGAAACAGAACAGTATATTGCCCGAGGCATCATTCCCATTCCAGTCACCACCAACACAGTTCCTGGAGTTGAGCAAAAATACATACATACATACATAAAAAGAGTTACTAATTAATTAAACAAAATAGATGTGGGTGCTGGTACTTAATTAGTTATATGGGAAATGCTCACATGCCCACGATGGCCACATGTTAATATGCTCACTGCTTATGTGGTATGCACACATTGGTGATGTATTTATATATATATATATATATATATATATATATGACCTGAATTAATTACGTACACACATACCCATCAGTGAAATAATCCTCAGCATAAGCGAGCCGTCCCGTTATGGTGCTGTCTATCGGACCATCACCCTGCACATACAATATATACATATACAAACAAACACAGGGGCCGGTTCTATTAATCCGGAAATTATTTTGGAACCCTAAACTGTATTAATTTTGACATTAACCAGATACTCGGAGTTCCCCGTATCTGAACACATCCGAATCTTTGTGGGAAAGCTTCGATCGATCGTGGAGGCGGCCACACATATGCTCCATGGGTTGACATTCGCCACCAGATTCGGCTCGGGCCCATCATTACCCGCCGAGAATACCACGCTCACCCTTTTCTGCATCGCGTGAAACGAGCCGATATCAGTTACTGACTGGTGGAAGGAATTAAGAGGGGGCGGACTCCCGGCGGAAACCGATATGACGTGGACCCCATCATGCAGGGCGTCGTGGAAAGCCGCAAGCAAGTCAGCATCAGTGCAATGTCCGTCCTTAGTCCAGCAGGCCTTGTACACCGCCAGCCTGGCCCTGGGTGCCCCGCCTCGCGCCGTCCCACTCGCGAACCCGAAAAAGCTCGCCCCATCGGATATCGACCCCACCGCTGTCGAGGCCGTGTGGGTTCCGTGCCCACTGAATCCCCGAGGCGATCTGTACTCGGTGAAATTCCCGTCCGCGTTGATCTTCCCGTACTCGCTCTCGTACCCCGCCAGGTAGTATCGCGCCCCGATCAGCTTCTTGTTGCACGCCCTTTTCGGGTCGAATTCTTGGCCCCCCACGCATTTTCCTCTCCAAGAATTAGGTATGGGTCCCATCCCGGGTTCCTCTTTGAAACTATCTGATTCAGGCCATATGCCTGTGTCGATGACACCGACGATTACATCATCCCCATAGCGATTCTGGTAAGGATGATTACTAGTGTCATGGGTCAGACCCATAAAATCCCAGCTTCTTGTGGTGTGCACTTGCGAGACTTTGCTCTCGAACACAGATACAACGCCCTCACTATCTGCATTCATTCTGCCCTGTTTTAGTTTAATTCATTACTAGTAGTTTCTAATTAACAGTTTTACTTACTTGCTAACATATTTGCCTGACTTTCATTCAGGATTGCAGCAAAACCAGAGAAGCCATGCTTGTAGTGATACACCACGGACTCCTCTGCTTCCTCATTGCTAAATTGTGACACAAAATGTTCAACATAATGCAAAAACCAAGTCTAGCATGTCAAGGGGGAATGATTATTTATATATAAACATTTCCTACATATTTAAAACAAATGTACGTAAAATGTATGAATACTCACTCACCTCCCAAATACAGTAGCAAGGAGCTGAATATGATACTCAGACGTTAGTAAAGAATCAGCACTGGAAGGGCTCCCTAAATAGGTTATATAAAGCTGCATATGTATAACAAAAAGAATTAAACAAACACAAAACGAACAAATTCATTTTAATTAGATCGATCATTACAATTGAGGCAACGAAAATTACCTTAGTGAGATTTGATGAGGCAAAGAAGCACTGAAAAGAAAGCAAGAGGGATAGGCCCCAAACACAAAACCCAAATGTATATTTAGTCATGTTACTTGGTGTGAAATGTAATGCAACCTTGTCATGCAAATTTATAGGCTCGTTTTGGCTGTCAGCTCATAGTTGATAGCTAATAGCTCTTTGTATTACCAGATAACGATAGCGGATTGGATTGTAATGATTAATTTAACTTAACATGTAAGATTTATTTTTTTGCCAAGTAGTCGCATTTATCATGAAAACCTTATGATGTAATTTAAATAAATTATATTTATATTGTACATTTTCAAATAGTTAAAATTTTAAAATGTAATACATCTATTATCTAATTTAAAATTTTAAATACTGTATACATGCATATAATTATTTGAGTGTTTTACCAATAAATTATATATTTAATAATTTAAAAATATGTCATCCAATTAGCTATATACACTTAATAACTGTGATTTAAAATCGTAAGTTACCAATATTGCGATATTCCACATTTATATAGTCATACATATTGTTGTATACAAAAATAAACTATAGTTGAACTCTTAATTAAGCAACATACATTTTTTTTTTGGTTAATTACTTAAAAAAAATTACCAAAAATATTTTTATGAACATGAGCTCTACCATTTCTATTTAAATAGTAAAATATTTTTCTTCTATAACTTGCTTTTGTATAATACAAAATGTCTTTTTTTTTTTCNGAGCAATAAATAAAATCTCCATAAGTTTCCCGCTCAATTTTTCAATTAATGTAAAAAAGTTATATTTTAAATTAATAAAGTGTAATAACAATTTCAAACTAATTTATTATATATACTACTTATACTAACTAATTATAAATTTATATTAAATAGAATGTGGAAGTTACATACTTATAAAAAAAATGTAAATGTTTTTCTTTAATATATTTAGTATACAATAAATTTTATTTTTCATCTTTTTAAGCGATTTTACTCTGATATTAGTTAATTGGCTTGACTGTCATAATTAAACACTCTAATATTACATAAACAATTGCTATAAAAATAATTACAATACTTCTAACTAATTAATTGTACGGTCCCTCTAAATTACAAAATTATATTGTCCATTAAAATTTATGTCCTCAATATAAAGATCATATGTAAGTTGAATAATTTATATTTATATTGTACATTTGCATATAGTAAAAATTTTAAAATGTAATACATCTATTATCTAATTTAAAATTTTAAATATTGTATACATGCACATAATATATACATTTTTATTTTTCTTTGTGGATGTGCACAAGAACGAATACTAGTTAGATTTCATTCTCGTATAAGCGTAATTAATTAGATTTATTGAGATATATTTGCAAATAAGTTTAAAAGGTCATAGAGACTAAAAAAAATAGATTTAAATAGTGCATAGATATGTATTTTAGCCAAATAAGAAAATTATTCTGTTGACAATTACTTTAAAATGTATTTTCACATACACAAGATTTGTTTTTTCTTGTCAATTGTACAAAACCTTCTTCTTGTATACTGAATCAGTCCAATTTAATATGAGGTTTTATTTATTATTTAATAAAATAAGTTACATGGTATGTGGTACAAAGTTTGATAGGTTATTGACTGATCACAATTAACTTATTCTCTTTCTCTCTCTCCATTATTATTGTGTCTTTAGAGTTTGAAAAAAATCATCTTCTTAATGTATACTAAATCAATTCAATTCAATATGAGGATTTATTTATTATATAATAAAGTAAGTTGTGTGTTATGTGATATCAAATTTAATACGATATAGGCTAGCCATAATAACTGATTCTCTTTCTCTCTCTCCATTATTATTGTGTCTTTAGAGTTTGAAAAAAATCATCTTCTTAATGTATACTAAATCAATTCAATTCAATATGAGGATTTATTTATTATTTAATAAAGTAAGTTGTGTGTTATGTGATATCAAATTTGATACGATATAGGCTAGCAATAATTAATTGATTCTACGCTGCTGGGCGCTTGGGCTACGCGCGGATTGCCAGTTTAGCTAGGCTGCGACCCCAGTGGCTGTTGGTAGCGCCTGTGCGCGGCTGCGGCTTGCTGTAGCTCGCCTGTCCAGCCACCTTGGCCGATCGCCGCCAAATTTTAACCGGAAGGTCGCCGGAGAACGCCAATCGCCGTGGGATGTTCGTCGGTTAATTCTGATACATCCGTTGGACACGATTCTCGTATTATGTGAAGAACGGACAACTCCGCGAATTACAGAAATATTACAGGGTTGATTATTTATATATTACGGGGTTGGATATATATATATATATATCGCTCAACTACCTCGGATCTTCTGTTTCCATGCAACGCTCACGCTACAAGAAGATGAATGATTTTTTTTTTATTTGCATCTAATCAACATGTTCTAATTTTAAGAAAAATCTAAAACATCTTAATAAATGTACAAGTAACGAGCGTAATTTATGGGGTCATTTGAGAGAAATAGAGAGTGCTATTTTGATTTGATCTTTCTTTCCGTATTTCGTTATCTAGTATATGTGTAATTAATCTATGTATATATAATTGCCGACGGAGAAATAAATAAAACATCCATAAGTTTCCCGCTCATTTTTTCAATGAATGTAGAAACGTTATATTTTAAATTAATAAAGTGTAAAAACAATTTCAAACTAATTTATTGTATATACTACTAATACTAACTAATTATAAATTTATATTAAATAGAATGTGGAAGTTATATGCTTATAAAAAATTCTATTGTAAATTTTTTTCTTTAATATATTTATTGTACAATAAATATTATTTTTAATCTTTTTAAGCGATTTTTCTCTGATATTAGTTAATTGGCTTGAGTGTTATAATTAAACACTCTAACATCACATAAACAATTGCTATAAAAATAATCATAATATTTCTCTAACTAATTAATTGTACGGGCCCTCTAAATTACAAAATTATATTGTCCATTAAAATTTATGTCATAAATATAAAGATTCATATGTAAGTTGAATAATTTATATTTATGTTGTACATTTGCATATAGTCAAAATTTTAAAATGTAATACATTTATTATCTAAATTAAAATTTTAGATACTGTATACATATATATAATATATAAATTTTTGTTTTTCTTTGTTCATGTGCACATGAACGAATACTAGTTAGATTTCATTCTCGTATAGGTTTAATTAATTAGATTTATTGAAATATATTTGCAAATAAGTTTAAAAGGTCGTAAAGATTAAAAAAAAAGATTTAAATAGTGCGTAGATATGTATTTTAGCCAAATGAGAAAATTATTCCTTCGGCATTTACTTTAAAATGTATTTTCACATACACAAGATTTGTTTTTTCTTGTCAATTTTACAAAACCTTCTTCTTGTATACTGAATCGGTCCAATTTAATATGAGGTTTTATTTATTATTTAATAAAGTAAGTTACGTTTTGTGTGGTACAAAGTTTAATAGGTTATTGACTGATCACAATTAACTTACTCTCTTTCCCTCTCTCCATTATTATTGTGTCTTTAGAGTTTGAAAAAAATCATCTTCTTAATGTATACTAAATCAATTCAATTCAATATGAGGATTTATTTATTATTTAATAAAGTAAGTTGTGTGTTATGTGATATCAAATTTGATACGATATAGGCTAGCCATAATTAACTGATTCTCTTTCTCTCTCTCGGTCATTATTGTTTTATTTAGAGTTTAAAAATTCTGAACTACTTTTGTATATTATATTTATGAAGAAAGCATTATGGCGAAATGGATGGCCTCATCCTACATGTCAAATAACCCTACTTATAATTAAGAAGATGTATTGCATACTCGTTTGAGATCATGTAGCTGTAAGGTAAAATATATACTTAGAAAAACAAAATTCAAACGTAGTGGATCGAATACATCGTAGTACTAGGGTGTAGTTACATTGTAAATGAAAATCCCATTGCCGAAGATGATTTTTAGTTTGAGTTTAAGGATGTTGGACCCAAAATTACTCACGGAAATGTTCCAAAAAAGTTACAAATTCCAAGAAAAAGTGGGCCGATTTAAACAAATAAGGAGATTGCATGCTGGATTAACATCCATAAGTATTTTGGTTTTTTTTTTTTTATATACAGTAATTTGATAATTAATGAGTTGTAATCATATGTTAAATCGATTCATTGCAACACATGAATAAACTGAATTTTATATTTGATACTTGTAATCTTGATAATTACAAATTTTTTTTTTATACTTTATGTAGAATAAACATGCCATAAGACTTGGGAAAAATTTCAAAATTAGTCCCATAGGTATAGGGGGGTGACAATTTTGGTCCCGACGGAATGCAGAAAATATGAATAGTCCCACATCTTTAAAAAAATGATCAAAAGTAGGACTTTTTCGCCGGATTTACTATTTCTGGCCCGGAACGCCACGTGACATCCGACGTGTTCATATTTATATACAAGTTGTGGGACTAGTTTTGAATTTTCTGCATTCCATCGGGACCAAAAATGTCACTCCTCTATACTTGTGGGACTAGTTTTGAATTTTTTTCTATCTACGTCGGATGCCAGCGTGTAAAAAATAAGCCACGTGTACGCCACGTGTGCGCCACGTGGCGCTCCGGGCCGGAAATAGTAAATCCGGCGAAAAAGTCCTACTTTTGATCATTTTTAAAAGTTGTGGGACTATTCATATTTTGTGCATTCCGTCGGGACCAAAATTGCCACCCCTATATCTGTGGGACTAATTTTGAAATGTTAATAATCGTGGAATAAACCATATAACAAATCCTATTAACACTTATATTCTTATTTTTATTTATTGATATGCTATATATAAACTATTCATATCTGAGTGGTTGATAATTATATGTAAATGTTTATTTCTAATATAACATATAAATATAATAAATTATTCATCCAAATGCATGTACTTTAATAGTTAGATTCATAATCTAAAAAAAAAAAAAACTATTCATCCAAAATACTTTTATAGTTGGATATATGAAAATCTCATAACATATGATGATGTTTTTCATGTTCCCATGCTAATTAATTATAAAATAAATAATTATTTAAGTGTTTTACTAATATATGATATGTTTAATAATCTAAAAAATATGTCATCCAGTTAGCTATATACACGTAATAACTGTGATTTGAAATCTTAAGTTGCCAATATTGTGATAATATTCCACATTTATATAGTCATACATACTGTTATATACAAAAATAAACTTTAGTTGAACTCTT